AATTCAACAGTGTACGTACTCGGTGTGAAGGTGTGTGAGATGGAAAGAAGGAAAATTGTCCCCCATCACTTTGCTTCTCTAAAATCTTACACACTCTTAGCTGCATTCCTAACAGTCCTTAAGAGAGCGATTTGGGATCCCGGAGAGGGAGATAGTTCAACATTTTCCTAAATGACCTCCATTTAAGCTGCCTTAGGTGAGCGAGAGAGGTTTTCTTCTGGGAATGCAGCCAGCGTACACAGAGAATGAGAATCTGCAGCAACGGTGCTGCAAGACGCGGCAACGGGAGAGGATCTGAATGGGCTGTGATATGTGTCCCATCAGTCTCCTGCTTCAAAGTGTAACAAGATGCAGAGAACCATCTGGGAGTAATAATCCATTAAAATCTTCGCACGGTGTCTATTTTGTGAGGTCAGACAATAACAGATCCCATGCTATAAAAACTCAGCAGTTCCTATTGCTTGCTGAGCGGCTTGGTGAACGCCAGGAGTGTGTGAGCCTGAGTCCTGTGCCCACTTGGAACCGAAATGCCTTCTCCTGCAAGTTAATCCCACGCAGCCACTCTGTGCTGGATCACACAGGGTTACACTTACTCCCCTCCCCGGGGTTTTATGAGACATGCGGCGCTGCCCAGTGTTCACAAATGGCCTTTTTTTCTTTTTTTTTTGGACTCTATAACAGTACAAAAGTTATCTTCTAACCACAAACACAAAGTCCTGTAATTAAACCTTTGTCACCCACAGCAGAGCGCTCACCATGTATACAAAGCAAACATTTTGGCAAGTTTATTAAGCTCCTCGAGACTAGGAGGGAATGAATGGCATTGCAAAATTACAGCAAGCTGCTTGCTATGCTGCTGCTGGATATTTTCACTGGCAACAAGATTTTATACTCCTCTCCATCTTGAAAAAAAATGCAAGAGATTTAGTAAACGTTTTTACTGTCAAAAGCAACACAGTGCAAAACACCGTATCAAAGTAAAGGCCAGAGGGATATTTTGGCCTTAAAAATTTATGGCACTTCGTTGTACATTAAAATAATTTAGCTGTAATATTTTGCTTAAAATTACTAAACATTAGGAGGTAGCTAATTAGGATAATCCAACTACTAAATTGCGTAAGTCACCAAATCTAGAGATTTTGCGCTGAAAGACACCCGGTACGCGATTTCGTTTTCATTGTGCGCGGTCCTGCACCGCTGGGAAGGACAACTGCTGGCAGATTGTCCCCGTCTTCGTTAAGCAGAAAGCCAAAGACGTACCATGCAGCGCTTCCGGGAGGAGAAACTCCTCCATTTTTCAAGTCCTTCTGTTGTTGTTCTTTGACTGTAGTCCAAACTACGTTAGTTTATGTGCGTGAGCCATGAACAAAGGGTGAATTTTCACATTTTATTTCCCTGTGAGATGTTATAGACCAACAATATATATTGAAGCTGCCTGAGCAAAATGGATTAGCCTGAGTCAGTTGTACTGCTTCTCAGCTGGAAAAGTGCAGTGACGTTCTTAGGAAAGCTGATCAGATCTGAAAGGCTTTTCTGGTGGTATTGAGTGGGAAACATAAATCACTGTTCATACAGAGAAGAAGAATATATTTGTATTTGCATCTTTCCATTGCCACAAATGAACCATTCGGTCAAAGAAGAATACATGGGCTCTAAAACTATTTTCTGCCTACCTGTTGACAAGACCGCTATAGCAAGACCTACTTGCGTGACACTTTGACTTAGAATGAAGAAATCTGAGTACAAACTGACGTCGTGAGAAAATAATTAAAATTCCCCTAGTCGGTTAGATCAGAGTTCCAGGTCGCCTAGTGCCTTCTCTTGCAGCAAAGCCAGGGCCACTGGCAGTGGTAGGAGAATACGAAGAAGACAAGTCCACCAGTCACACCGCTCCCCAAAGCCTTTGGCAATCTTCCAGGTCAAGGCCCTGGCTTTCATGTTGAGTGGCGCTTGATGGATTTTGTCTTCCATGGATTTGTCTAGCTGATTTTTGAAGTCAGCTACACCTTTGGTGTCTACAACAGCCTATGGCAACCAGTTCCAGTGTAATTACGTATTGTGTGAAAAGAAGCCCGTCATGTTAGTGCTTCTCTGAAGCGTATTTTGAGATACTTGAACTCCTCCATAATTAGGGCAGAATTGGTCAAGAACCTGAGTTTATTTCAGGCAGGCCTGAGCAGCCTGCGTGGCTGCAGTCCCATCCCATTGGAGGTCAGGTGAAGGTTGCTTATGGGCTCGTAGGGTTTCACCAAGCTTGCTGTCACCGCTCATGGCAGTCATTCGTACCCGCTCAGTGCTACAAACTGCAAGTGAGTTGAGCCAGTGGAAACCGTAAGGCAGAAATTCCTGGACACGTCGCAGTCAACGGCAAAATGCAGGCGGGTGTCCACCCCACGCTTCCCATCTCAGCACACTCCCAAATTCAGATCCCAAATGCCACACGTGGAGCAGGGCTGCGCTCCGTGAAGAGCTCGTTGCCCCTCACCTCCTTTCCTCGGCACGCATCTAAGGAGAAGGACACAAGGCTTGTTTTCTTTGAGATTGCACAGGTCTTGCCACGATGTCTCCACCTTTTATCTCCGTTACTCTGAGCTTCCGTCTATGGAGACAGGAGATACTCCAAGAGATTTGTACCCTTCCCCATACAGCTGCACAGGTCGTGGTCTGGGAATTCAGTCATGATTCAACACAGTTTTAATCATTTTAAACAGGGAGAGGATTGTAAGGAGACAGACCGTAGCTTTAACTACATTTCCTGAAAGCACTCTGCTCTTTGTATGGGGTGGCAATAATTAGAGAATATAAATTTGGCCCTTTTTTTAATATATTATATTCCTTTAATGCAGAAACTGTTTTTTAAAGATTGCTACAAAAGAGAATAGCATATCTTAAAATTACACTTTATTCTAATGAGGTATTTATTACAGAAAAAGTGTTTTGGAGAGGGAGAGGGAGTTCAGCTATTTTTTATTGTATCTGAAAAATGTGCCTATTTCTACTGTAGGCCCTAGAGTATGATTTGAATACAAAAAAAAAAAAAGATCACTTGAGATTAAGGAGTGTTCATGCTTGCCTCCGGGGCAGCAATGCGAAAGTGATTTGCATGACCAACCTTTGGGCAGCCGAGCCCAAGGTTGCATGTCCCGTAATGAAGTTACTGTTTGTGTTGTGGGTCTGTTTAGCAGAGAGCTCTCTTGCCGCTTCCCCTTTCAGCGGGGATGCCCACCCTGCCTACAGGAGCAAACCCTGGGCCGGCTGGCAGCAATGAGTTTGAGCCGGGCGTGCTGACAGCTCCTGCGACGGGCTGTAGCGCGGCCGTCCAGCGGCCGCATCGGGCCTTCAGCAGCTGTGCATCTGACTGGCTTTATCCAAAGGCTTTGACAAACTATGTAAAACTTGGTTTTCCTCATCCTATTTTTGACAAGGAAAGATGACCTGTCTGAAAACCATTATCAGTGTTTTGGAGATTCACATGTTCCGATGCCCCGTTTCCTTATCCGTTACAAAACGCAGCTGTCATTACCTCGGGAGTTTCCTCCCTACCTCCTTAGAGCTCTAAGACAAGATTTCGAAACTGCAAATGCAGGTGTTAGGAAATCCTAGGTTTCCGAAAGTCTCCCTGTGTTTTTGCAGAAAGACTGTTCATGTGACAAGAAAAAAAAATCACAAATATGTACATAAATAAAGCTAGGGAGCACAGTGCCAAGGTAGTACTTCACACACATGTACGTACACAACGTGAAATGTTTGTCGTTGCAGTGGGGCATTTAGTTTCAAACAAATCCCCTAACAGGGTTTATTGTTTGCTTCTTTAACTCACGGGGAGGTCTTACAATATATTCAGCGTGATTTCAGTCAATCAGCAGCAATTATTTCTCTCGTCTATCTTGTTAGAAGGTGATGAGCCTGGGAGACTTCATGCGTGGGAGTCTCAAACTGCTGGGGGAGACTCAGGCCGATGAGCATGAGAATTTTATGTAAAGGTAGGAAAGTACAGAGATGCTATATGTTACTGTTTTTTAATGAGAATAATTAAGATTATGTAGGGGCTGATACGTGAAGCTGACACTGCAATGAAGTTCACAGCTTTTCCCAGTATTTCAGTTTGGACTCTAGCTGAAAGCTTTTCAGTCCTTATGTTTTAACTAAATTCACATTGTCCATTGCTGCTCATACCATCCTCCTAACTGAGAATGGTAATTTCACATAAAGGAAAACCAGTTGCAACCAGATAAATTCAGGCAGGAAAGCAACTGTGAAGGCACTGATGAGCTTCCGACTGCAGTTCAGTTTCCTTACTGCTCACCTGCTTGCAAACATTGTGCAACCAAGGTGGCACACAGGCGGAGCCGAGGAATTTTTATTCATGGTCATGCATAAATGTGCGTGTTTGTGCCTCATGAAATGTAACCTAAGCCCAGAAACTGGCCCACTTGGCTCAGCCAGGCAAACGCGCGGCTCAAGCCACACATTTTAAAGGAGTACTCGCTAGGAGCTACTCCTGAACACCTCCATGGTGCAAACAGCTTTGATAGAAA